ACCTACTACTCATCCCAAATTAATCACGTATCCCGACTAACGGGCGTCATAAACCCACAAGTTTGTTCTTATAAATATCACATTGTAAACGACTCAAAAGCACAGATGGGAAACAGATAAAGAAAAGACGGGAACATTTGTCAAAGGAGATGAAATTATTAGAGCCTTTCAGAATCATATCGAAATTAATAAACAATTTGAATATCAACAGAATACTGCGAATTATATACTGAAGATTTGTTTTCTGCTCATCATTATAAAACATTTCACCATCCCTTTAAACCAGCGAAAAATACTAAATAACGACGGCGCATATATGAGGTTTTGACAAATGCAAAAATTTAAATTTACAATGCTTATTTTCTAAAGTGTTATTAAAGGTCTTGCTATTGATTTTTACGGTATCAAAGACATTCCATTAGCATTGAATCAAATAATTGAATATTAAACAGCTTTTTTCACAATAAACTAATGATATATGGAAGGTGTGCTGTCTACAAATACGATTTAACGGACATTTACATATCGAGGAATGCGTATGGTAATTGTGAATTGTTAATTTTACAACGTTTTTCGTTTCAGGCCAAAACAATTCAGAGTCGCCTGAACTAAGTTTGCCATCACGCGAGTTGGGTATGAATTCGGGTTCTTTGACACTGCAACAAACATAATATTAATTTTTTAATGGCGTCTTCTTCATGTTCCCGTCTGCAATGTTATGAGCTCCTTACTAATATTGTCATTGAACACACAGCACTGTTCTTATTTGGTTGCCTTTTTATCCTATCTTTACTTATCATGTAACCCCACGATTCGCTCACCACTGATCATGTTTCTCCACTGTCTGATCACCAATGAGTTGACTGTTCTGCTATTCAGACACAACTAATCATAGTTTCCACTATCCAACCAATAGCAATCTAGTAGTTCCACTATCCAACTAATAGCAATCTGGTTCGCTCACTATCCAACCAATAGCAATCTGTTTCTCTCACTCTCCAACCAATAGCAATCTAGTAGTTCCACTATCCAACCAATAGCAATCTGTTTCTCTCACTCTCCAACCAATAGCAATCTAGTAGTTCCACTATCCAACTAATAGCAATCTGGTTCTCTCACTCTCCAACCAATACCAATCTGTTTCTCTCACTCTCCAACCAATAGCAATCTAGTAGTTCCACTATCCAACCAATAGCAATCTAGTAGTTCCACTATCCAACCAATAGCAATCTGGTTCTCTCACTCTCCAACCAATAGCAATCTAGTAGTTCCACGATCCAACCAATACCAATCTGGTTGTCTCATTATCCAACCATTAGCAATCTGGTTGTCTAACTTTCCAACCACTCACAATCTGGTTGTCCCACTCTCCAACCACTAGAATTATGGTTGTCCCACTCTCCAACCACTAGCAATATGGTTGTCCCACTCTCTAGTCCATACTAACACTGTTAACAATATGGAAAGCCAAGCTGTCATATATTCATGGAACAATGCTGATTCTGTTTTTAAATCGAATTAGGTTTTTTGACGTTAAGTAAGATTTTTGTTTTACTTGATAAGATATTTTATCGACAAAGTTAAATTAGATATCTTAATTATTTTCCTTAATAAATAAGAAATTTAATTTGATCTTCTTTATCAGATAAATGATTAAATAAATCAAATATTGTATTCAGTAAATTGCATACGTCATTAAATATCTCATTAACTTTGAACATTATATAAGTAAAGAAAATATCAAAATTTCATAAATTGGATGTGTTATCAACCATAGCTCCATGAATCAATGACGATTTGCCTTGCCATATACTTCTCTATTTGGTCACCTCTAGTCGGTTCGCATGTTATCTATTTATTATCGGTCATCAGTACGTCAGTGATTCGATTATCCGGCAGCAGATAATTTGATGAGATATTGCAGATTGAAGATTATAATTGATATGTTCCAGTAATCTGGAATCCGGTTTGTTGGATATGTAGTAAATTATGTGACAATTTTGTATAAAATCTTATATAATATTGAATAGAAATGTTCACTTTTGTTATTTAACGATAAACGAAACGGCGGCTGGATTTCTATATTTTACAGTTTGTCATCAAGTTCAATGTAATATAAGTTTGTCGGAAAGTTTCTTATGGGACAAATATCTATTTTGTGCTTGGGACAAATATCCATGTTGTGTGGGGACAAATATCCATGCTGTGTTGGGACAGATACCCATGTTGTGTTGGGACAGATATCCATGTTGTGTTAGGACAGATATCCATATTGTGTTGGGACAAATATCCATGTTGTGTTTGGACAAATATCCATGCTGTGTTGGGACAAATATCCATGTTGTGTTGGGACAAATATCCATGTTGTACTGGTACAGATATCCAGTTTTTACTGGAACAAATATCCATGTTGTGTTGGGACAAATATCCATGTTGTACTGGTACAGATATTCAGTTTTTACTGGGACAAATATCCATGTTGTGTTGGGACAAATATCCATGTTGTGTTGGGACAGATATCCATGTTTTACAAGAACATCTTTCCATGTTTTACAAGGACAGATATTAATATTGTGTTTGCACAGATTTCCGTGTTGTACTTGGAGACAAGTCTGTATTACATTTACCTGTAAACTATTAGCTCAACAATGTTGTTAATGTAGAGAACAAGTTGTTGTAAGTCGACAAATTATTATGCCCGACCCTTTGAATTTAAGTTTTGTTGTCTTATAACCATAGCAAAAATCTTTCCATTGATTCATTTATATGAGAAGATTTGAAAGCATACCAACACACAATGCCAGTGGTCAGATGGCTGTAACCAAAACGACTGAAAATCTCTGTTTCTAAATGAAGTTATTTTATAATACACACACACACACACATATATATATGGAGAGTGTCAATGATATTGTTTACACAGCTCAAAAACTGAATAAAATATCAGCTTGTTTGCCTTTTACTTATAGTATTATGGGTCGATTTTATACGGCTGCATCTCACCTGTCTGCTGGCGGAATACATCAATACATATGACACCAATATAACATGCACTTTAATGTCTCCTGTTGTTCAAACATGCAAATAATCCAACGTGTTTTCGATCTCGGCAAATTGAGTGTCCAGAGATCGAATGCGGTTTCTTTGAACCGTTTATAATGGACATTTCCAGATACACATTCTATTCATCTGTGATTCTAGTAGTGGCAGCCATTAGGAAATTAGAACACGTGTATATGATAATACATTGTTTTTGTCAGCAGTTATTTGGTCTCTTTTGTCGGTTTTTATTTGGTGTAAAATGACTTTTGATTATCTTCATCCACACTAATATATATTATGTTACAATTTGAGCACCACTGTAGTGTTTCAGATGCAGTCTAAAGCGTAGCAGCAGGTATAGCCAGATTAAAATCACCTGTTACGATGAAAACTACCCTCAGTATTCAGTTATTTCACTCCTTGTTAGGTAATCCAATCTGAATTTTGTAAAATGTATATTAGACGTCAAGTTTCTTCTAATTGTTACCTATTTGGATGTCGTAGCAATCAAAATGGTAACAAAAAAGTGAACACAAAAATCATATGACCGGACTCTAGCAACGAAAGGTGACCACGACACTTAATTCTGACCGGACTATGACAACGAAAGGTTACCACGACACTTAATTCTGACCGGACTATGGCAACGAAAGGTTACCACGACACTTAATTCTGACCGGACTGTGACAACGAAAGGTGACCATAACTCTTAATTCTGACCGGACTCTGACAACGAAAGGTGACCAAGACACTTAATTCTGACCGGACTATGACAACGAAAGGTGACCATAACACTTAATTCTGACCGGACTCTGACAACGAAAGGTGACCAAGACACTCAATTCTGACCGGAGTCTGACAACGAAAAGTGACCACGACACTTAATTCTTACCGGACTCTGACAACGAAAGGTGACCATGACAGTTCATTCTGACCGGACTATGACAAGGAAAGTTGACCACGACACTTAATTCAGACCGGACTCTGACAACGAAAGGTGGCCACTACACTTAATTCTGACCGGACTATGACAACGAAAGTTGACCACGACATGTCATTCAGACCGGACTCTGACAACGAAAAGTGACCACGACCCTTAATTCAGACCGGACTATGACAACGAAAGTTGACCACGACACTTAATTCTGACCGGACTCTGACAACGAAAAGTGACCACGACGCTTAATTCAGACCGGACTATGACAACGAAAGTTGACCACGACATGTCATTCTGACCGGACTATGACAACGAAAGTTGACCACGACATGTCATTCTGACCGGACTATGACAACGAAAGTTGACCACGACACGTCATTCTGACCGGACTATGACAACGAAAGTTGACCACGACACGTCATTCTGACCGGACTCTGACAACGAAAATTGACCACGACACGTCATTCTGACCGGACTAGTCATTATCTCGAACTCTTTTAACTCGAAGACCCTGTATAACATGACGTATTTTGTCGGTCATAACACACTGCACAATATGAATTCGAACTTTGCGTAAATCTTATGCTCGGATAACTCGGCAGTTTCCCAACAGTCCCGCCGACTTCGAGATAACGAGGTTCGACCTTATTAGATATCTATCGTGAAACTGTATCGTTATATTGTCACACTTATTCATCTCAATGTTATATCAAAATCAGTTGCAGACTAGTTGTATTATTTTCCCATTTTTCTAAGTAAACAATAAACATAGCATCTTCATAAATCATTTCAGCTTAATAGCTTTCAGAAGCCGGTGCAGGGCATGTGTTGCTTCGGTAATACTAAATATGCTTATTGACATATATCATTTACGTGTGCCAAATAAAATGTTCCTGTTTTTTCTGTTGCAGATGGAAATGTATACCTTGCACACGTGAACCGGCTGAAGCTCTATACAAACACTTCATCTGGTAGGTCGGCTTATTACAAACAATCGCTCGTTCCCACACCACCTTTCACGATGGAACAGATACTGACTTCGCGACGTACTACTCTACAAGAAATGTGCAGTAAAGAATTCAACAATAGTGTCAAAACAAAAGGACGAGCTCCGTCCTTCTTTTATTCTAAATCAGCAAAAGTAGCTTGTTGTAAGGCTCCAAAAACAGGTAGCTCGTTTTGGGGAACGGTAGTCTTAGCAATTGAATCACGGAAAAATGCCTCTGATACATTTCATATTAACAGGAATTCTGTTCACGGAAGAAACGAGATTGATGTCAAAAAATTTCGAAACATCACACGTGAGTCACTAACACTGATGGTTTCTAGGGAACCCTACAGCCGATTGTTCTCCGCTTTCGTCGATAAGTATTTTCTTCTCGGGCAGCTTGGTCGGGAAATTCAAAAAGCATTAAAGAAGCAGCCATTTATAATGAACGGAGGGATATGTGGCTATGGCGTAACATTTACAGATTTTTTAAATTATATAACTGATAGGGCTTTGAGAGGAATGGAGTTGAATGAACATTTTATGCCAATCGTCAAACTGTGTGATGCATGTGCAATAAAATATGATGTCCTTAGCAAACAGGAATCGCTCACAAAGGACACAGAACATATTCTAGACTTGCTGAAATTTTCTGATGAAAAGAAAAATGACATTCAAACTAGTTTGAAAAAAGGAATTAAAAACACGATATATTCTTTAGTTGCATCATATTTGACTGACTACAGTAAGTATCGCACCGACTGTCCAGACAGAGTAAGCCATTTTGAAAAAGTTTGGAAAACTCTGCAAGTACAAGGTTATGTGAGTACAAGAGCAGCATATCCAGCAGGCGAATTCCAGAAAATGACAACTTTCGATGCCGACACTATAACTTCATTAATCCTCAGAGAGATGGAAAGGTTCCCGTTAAGAAAAGAGGAAAAAGCAGTGCAGCGCAAGTCTGCTTTGTCGATAGCCTATGCAGACGTTGGACCAGAAACTATTGCCAAGATTCAGAAGGTTTACAAAATGGATTTTCTTTTATTCGGTTATAATATGACGCCACCGGATAAACGACCTGGTGCAATTACGTTGTAAATTGTTAGATATCTCGGGAGGAAACGGTCACAACAAATGACACTTTACAAGCAATATCACGACCAATATGTCATATATTCATTATAAATAAAATTGTGGAAGTTTTGGGAATAAAACTAGTCAAACTTCGTTATTTCGAACAGGCGAAATACTTCAAGTTATACGAGTTCGAGAAAAGGTGGTGCGACTGTATATATAAAGATAAATTTATATAGGAAAAAGTTAAGACACTGGAAAACACATGATGTAAAACATAAGCGCTTCCATTTCTTCTTCAGATGTTTTACATATTTACATAGATACGATAATATAGGGGTTGCAGATATGTAAATATATCAAACATCTAAAGAGGAAATGGAAGCGCGTATGTTTTACATAATGTGTTTTCAAGTGTTTTAACTTTTTTCTATATTTACTGGGCACGGAGAATTCACCACATTTTCAATATATATATATATGTATATATATAGGGTCAGGTACAATATTTCATGACGCTACATCCATTCAAAAATGACCTGGATTTTATTGAATTTATATGCAAACTGCCAACAATTAGTGATGTTTTGTATTCAGCGATAAATTTTTTATGTATATTTGAAAAATGCATTCAGTATTTTATGGCACTTATGCTTGAACTTACAGGAAATGAAGACACTTGTATTCTTTTCTCATTTCAATTATTAATCCAATACATACGTATATTTTTAAACGTCTTATTGCACTGTTAGAGACAATATTTTATGTATTGATCGTCTGTTAGTAGTGGTTTGAATGTCTTAAGTTGTATTAAATACGTATTTCATTGTTGTTTATAATACAGTCGAACGTCGTTATTTCGAAGGGACCGTTGGAAAGCTTCAAGTTATCCGAGTATTTGATTTAAAAGAGATCGAATGTCTGGTGAAAAGTTTTGCTTCTACAGAAGATACACTTTAACGGTGTCTGTGAATTAAGAGTTCGAGATAACGAGGTTCCACTGAAATTTACTTCGATATATATTTTGTTGTTTTGTTTTGAATACATACTTTTTTGTCTTTGTGTACTTCCCTAGTGAAATTAAAAGTTGATATCTTTGTTGCTTTGACTTTTTCATCAGTATATTTATCATCTTCCTTTCTCGTGCCATCCATTTAGAATCTTAAAAATATATTCGTAGTGAACGAGGTCACTGTTACTATTTATACAATTGTCGACGTCAACTATAATAAGTAGAAACCATGATATCTGCATGTTATATTCCTTCAAAGGAGGTGTGTGTTTTAGATAAGTTTCAGTTAGTCGTCTATTCTTGTGGTCATTTCCTCACAACGTCATCGTCTGTCATCATTACACCGGATATAGCTATCCTCGAAGCATAAAAAGTGGAAGTGGAATACAGGAAGTATGAAATAGTTGTTTTATTTAACAAGGCGATATCTTACTGACCAAATCACGGTATCATTTGCTTCAGGAAGATCTTAATTACATTGGAAACAAGAAATGAGAAATTTGCATGTGTTGTTACAAAACGGGGCTGTCGTGAAGTTGGAAGGAAACAGATATGTTTATGCTGAACTAATTGATAAGATGATAATTCAAATCTCCTGTTATGCACAAAGAAAAAACTTCCTTAGAATTCCCGATACTTCAAGCAAATTCTCCTGCAGTGACATGTAAATACGTATTGAAATGCACGGCTTACGTTATATAAATGAAGAAGTCAACCCTGCCTTTTCTGGGCGCCAATCGGGGAAGATAAAATCAAGGCGACATATTGGTGATTGCAAGTTGTGATAGATATCTTGAATAATCTTATGTATATAGACCAATTAGTGAATTTCTAAACGTATGCTTCAAGTTTTAAGGTGAGAATTACCATGACCTTTATGCATCGTATAATACGTGGTGTCGTACTGAGGTTACGACCTGTCATTCTCGTGCTAATGAAATTGTGGACGGATAAGTTGTTTATAGTTCAGACAGGTGTTACATCCAACGACTTCTCTGTTTAATTTAACAAAATATCAATATATAATCATATTTCTACAAAATAGTTACAGTTTCTTTCTTATTAACATATTACCTCATCCTCAACTCTTGATCTGAAGGCCTATTTGCTTGAAAAATCTTAATGATTGTACGTTACACATTCAAACTTTATTACACAACACCTGGTCTTATTGCCCCTTTGTACTTTTTCAAGGGTCTCCATGTAAATCTTTTCTTTTTTGTCATATTTTTTTACCATTGGTTTATTGAATCCTAGTTTGGATTATGATTATATCCAAAGGTTGGTATTTTCTTGTTGTCATAATCATGATGACATTCAAATTTCTCTGGTCGTGTTCCCAACGTAAATGTAGGGCTTCCCAGAACAGAGAGTTTGACCAGCAATGTTTAAATGTTAAGTGAGTTCGTAACAATTTACGTTTGAGCGTTGTGTTCAAATTTTCATCCCCTCAAAAAGTGAGATCGCCGATATAATCAGCATACGTCCGTGATAAAAAGCAAATAAGATGTAATGAAATAATTCAAAGTATTTAACTTTTTAAAACATTGAAGTAGATTTTTAAAGAAAAAATAAAAATCTTTAAATATTATATTCTTGAGACATAAATTGATTATATAATCCTAGACTGGGTTTTTGGATCCGGACCGAGACCGGGTTCGGCGTACACAAGTGATCGCCACCATGAAAGAAAACATGGCGGTTTATATTTAGAAAGTGATCGCCTTAATCTAAATATGGAAATTCTACAACGTACGAGACCTGACAACATAAAAAGATAAGCCGTATGGACCAGGTCGTGTGTACTTTATGACGTCACAAGGGAAGATTTTGCGAATTCGGCGTAGTTATTGAGGTACCCATAGAAACGAGAGCGTGTTTGAACTGAAAAGGGAAATGTCTTCCTTATCATTTCTACCTATATATCCGAATTCGTCAGGTCATAACTTGATTTATACTTGGTCAGTCTCGTTCTTTAAACACTCATTGGAAAGATAAAACATCTCTCGTCTAGGTTATTTATGTGTTACCAAGATCTGCAAACCCTAGATAAAAAAAAACACGATGGCTTTTAATGAATGCTAACCAGTGCTTTTGGAGGTCAAGGAAATAATGGAGAAGGCGAGGGCAGAGTCAGCACCAGGACCAAACAGCGTGCCGTATAGGGCTTACTGTTCGCTATTATTAGGTAAGTTGTGAGAGCTACTGCGGGTTGTTTGGAGGAGAGAGATATTGGCAGACAGCTGGAACACTGCTGAGGGATGTTTCAAACCGAAGGAAGAGAACTCCAAGGACATCAGCCGATTCTAGACAATATCTTTGCTGAACTTGGAAGAGAAGGTAATGTTTTCCATCTTATCAAGACAAATGACCAAATACCTTGACATCACAGTGCAGAAGGGGGCATTCCCGGAGTATCTTATTGCTTTGAACATGCCAGCGTATATACCCAAAGAATCGGAGAGGCAAAGGAGAAGCAAGACTATGTTACAGTGCTCTGGCTAGATCTAGCCAATGCATACGGATTCATACAACACAAACTGGTGAAGCTGTCCATGGAGAAGCATCAAGGCATTGTTTTGACAGTTTCCGGATGCGATTCACTATTTGTGATTATACGACAACTTGGCAGAGTTTGGAAGTTGGGGTAGCTACTGGATGCAGGATATCTGTAATACTTTTCGCAGCAGTCATTAAACTGATTGCGAAAGCTGTAGAGAAAATGAGCTTCTTACAAAGCAGCTGGCAGTCGACAGCCACTAATCGAAGTTTTTATCGACGACATGACGGTGACGACGAAGACTGTGGGTGAAGGAAGGAAGGCCCTCCGGGATCTGGAAGAGATCATCTCATGGACAAGTATGAAATTCAAACAAGATAAGTCTCGAAACTCGTCCTTAAGGCAGGCAAGGTGAAGGATCAGAGGTTTACCGTCGGCGAAATGGGCATACCAACATTCACTAAGAGGCCAATAATAAGCCTTGAGAAGAAGTTGGACGATTCCTTGACCAGGAACAGCGTCGCACGGATGAGGAAATGAGCCGAGGAATCGATGAGGGCAGTTGATGAAAGTTTACTTCAAGATAAATTCAAAACCTGGATATACCGGCATGATGTTCTCCCAAGGCTCTTATTTCCTTTGCTAGTTTGCTGGTCTACGAGTTTAGTAGTGTAGGTTTGTACAGCTCAGGAACCAAACGCCAAACATACACTAGACATAGCAACGGACAGACTCCAGCATGTGGATATTGTTGAAAATTTGGCGTTAGGGTGTCATGGCCTTGGAGCGATTTCAAAAACACGATGGGGTAGTACAATCCAGCGGGAACACACGGATATGCTTGGACAGAGATCAGACTGATGGTGAGGAGGCTAGGTAAGTGAGGGCTGTTGGCATGAGACATCAAGGGTCTAAGCCCGCTGGATGGGTATTAAACAGCGGAAAGTATCTTGTGGTGACATCTGGAACATGGATGGATACAGGTTTCAGGCCCTTAAAGAGATGGCAGGAGGTATCGAGTCTGCCAAAGGAAAGAGACGTCAAGTTTTACAGGGACCGAAATTCACCAACTTCGTGCAATCTGGAACAGGGATGGAGGAAAGGCTCTGGAGGCAAGCGGGATATTAGGAACAGCAGGAAACTGTGAATTGAGGGCAGACATCCAGCAGAGGATGGATTTCTCAGTACAGGTGGTTTCAACACCACTCCATCCAGACATCGTGTGTCTCGCAGCTCCAAGCAGTTAGGGATAGTGGAGCCAACTGTACCTTGGGAAGACAGGATGGAGGAGGTAATGAACAGAAACAACAGAATATACCAGCAGTTGTTGGATGAGTGTAACAGCAAGAATGGAGAATTTGGTGTCTGTCTATGGAGTTCAGTTGCAGGGGGCTCCCTGGCCAGACATCTTGGAACAACTACGTGGGGACGTAGGAGCAGACCGGAAGAGACTTGTGGGAGCAGCAAGCGGTCTGGTAAAGGTCGCTTCAAGCTGTATATGTTTTTTCTTCT